CGGTCGCAACCAGTGCAACAAGACCTGCAACTGGCTCAGATGTGGAGAATAGAGATGAAAATGAGGACGCAGATGATCCTACCTCCTTGGATGCCCAGGCGGCGCGAGCGGTACTGAGCCTGGCAATGATGGAAAGCAATGAGATCAAAGTGCGTCGCATATATGCTATGTTTAACTCACAATTTGACATCCAAACGATCGGACGAGGGTGCTGGCGTGAGTTAAAACGTGCGGGGCAAGGTCGATTACCGCTAAGCGCACGCATACAGCCAGGGTGCGGTATTAAATTCGCGCTTATTTACGAGTAGGAGACTTATTGTATTCTAATTCACGCGGATACTCATGTCATTCTCACATTAACGCTGGGTGCTCGTAGTCTGGGTGAAATGTGAGCGTAACCTGGCGGTTACGACGTCATTCCGCCCGCGGCTTAATCTATCCGTAGCACGCGCAGAATCTAGGTGTAATCTCAGATTACGCCGAGGTTACGCTTCTGCATAACTTGCCGTTTTGCGCAGTGCTAATCGATGGCGGGCAAACTGCCGCCCGTTTCCGGTGTCAATGCGCGTGCACCGCCTCCATTCGACGGAAGGAAACCCGCAGACATCATCGTATCGACTTCTGACCACGTCGACTTCTATCTACTCAAAGGGGTTCTGGTTATAGCGTCACCTTTCTTCGAGGATATGTTCTCCCTTGTCCAGCCTCCGAAGGAGGTATCCGCAGAACTAGACCGCATTGATGTCTCCGAGGATAGCACCACCCTCGAGATCCTTATGCGCCTTTGCTATCCCGTCAATCAGCCGAAGATAAGTGACTGGTCGCTCCTGGGAAAAGTTTTGGGAGCAGCCATGAAGTACCAGATGGAGATCATCGCCGATCTGCTCAAGGTCGCACTCCGCAGCTTCATAGACGGGAAGCCGCTGCGCTGTTTTACGGTGGCTTGCCAGCTGCAGCTTGAAGAGGAAGCAGAGTTGGCGGCCAAAGCCTGGAAGACCCAAGCGAAGTCTCTCACAGACACGTCCAAGTCTTTCGCGTCCACCTTCGCTGGCGGAACATACATCCCAGAGATGTCCACTATGTCTTCCGCCGCCTACTTCCGGCTCTTGCAGTACCTCCGCGGCGGAAAGCTGACCAAGTTCACCACCACTCCCAAGAGGTCCGGTCCACATTCCTCGCTGCGAGCGCCACAGTCTGCTCTTACGATCTCGGATGAGGATTGTATCCTTCGATCGATTGGCGGCGAAGCTTTTCCCGCGCATTCCGTAGTGCTTCGAGTCGCATATGCTGGGAAACTTCTCGAGACAGCTACTACATATGATACAGAAAACGGAAGTATGCGAGAAGTGCCTGTTGACTTGGACAGCAGCACCCTCCGGGCCATGCTCAAATTTTGCTACCCAATGTCGCATGTCGCATCGCTGGACCTGAGCGACGTCGTTCGAGTCTTCGAAGGTGCCGGGAAGTATGGGATGCAGGAAATAGCGGATGCAGCTAAGCAGCAGATAATGAAGAGCGTCGAGACGAGGCCGCTCTCCGTATATCTGCTAGCCGGGCTAAACGGATGGGTGGAAGAGGCGCAGGAGGCAGCAAGGCGTTCAGTGCTCCGTGGTTTACGCGACACCTACGTGCCCGAGATGGAAGAAGTCCCCGCCCCGGTGTATCACGCCCTTCTAGAGTTCCAACACCGGTCACGAAGCATAGCAACAGATATTGTCGCCACACACGCGCCGAATGCTCCAACTTGGCTGTCTGTTTCAGCCAATCATCTCCAAACGCTGCCTATCGCACCCTCGCTCCCGCTTGTAGAGGAGATGATCTTGGGGTCAGGCGTCGGTGGGCAGTATGAATGCCATACCTGCGACACGTCTTACTTCAGTGCGTTCATAGCTAGTAGGTGTCCCACGTGTTACACAGGGGATAACAGCCGGATGTCGGCCGTGCTTGAAGAAAGTGCTGCCATGGAAAGGGAGATACGGGACGCATTAGCTCAGGTAAGCCACGGGCGCACCGTTACGGCAGAGCTTACCGAGAACTTCGCCAGCTTCCACTGTATCTTCAACATCAAGTAACGCCGCGAAGCGACTAAAAGCTACTACTTCAATTCGCCAATTCGTAGCGGCGTGCGAGATACTAGTCATCTTCTTAACAGTGGTTGAATCGTACTTAGGGGTGTGGGCCGAGTATACCAGACCGTTCGCTTAACTGATCAGACGCACGAGTTCCGATATCGGAGTAGCAGCTTGAACTGGTAATTCATGTATAGGAATAAAAAATGATAGCCCTTTCATGTCTGTCTGCAGATCACTAAACTACGAGCATAACATCTAGTAAGCTCGACACCATCATAACAAAGAGGCCGTAGCAAGCGGCCGTTGACGAGAAAATGCGATAACAAAAAGGCTCAGCGGCCTGATGATGACATTCTAGTCACTCAAGCAGAGATCCTCGGAGGACAGCGAGATCTTCGATGCCCTATGTTATCCCGTCGATGAGCCACAAGGTCTATCTCCATTATTTTACCTGCCATTGAAAAAGAGCTACATCCTTCAACGTCGGGAGGGCCGCGCTGAGGTGATGGATATATTGCCGCATACTCGTTCAGTCACAAGAGCTGTATATATGATGCCGTTCCTCTCCTGCTTCATAGCGAAGAGGTTGAGAAAACCCTTGATGCACGGCTGCCTGACCCGGTGGGTACCCTCTGCTAGCGTCGTCACAGAGGCACGCTAATACGCCTCCCAAATGAAGGTTAGGTTGCCGGCAACATATACGCAAATATTATACATCCCTCTTTCATATATCCAGCTTTGCAAATCTAGCGCCTAAGCAGATACAGACACTTCGTGTTCGGGATGGGATTCACGACGCGCATAGTCCCTGCAAAAACCTTGGGCTCGATATCAGCAACAGCCAAGCAGTTATTCTGCTAAATTTCGTCCAGCTTTGGTTGTACCTATAAAGATAGATATGCATGTCACGGTCCAGACGCGATCGAGACCAACTGATAACGCTTACCTTGAGTAGCTCCTCCTTAATCTCCATATCCATCGCGTACGCTGCATCGACATAGTCTACTTGCAAGTCCGGCCCTACCAGGGACCCTACACCATGCGTGTGTCGCCGCCCCAGCCCTCTGCCACCTCGAAGCCCGACGATATGTCCGTCCGTATGCGGCTGCTCCTGAGCGGAAAGCATCTTCTGCGTCCACATCTCGACGATAGGAAGGGGCACCGCAAGCGCCGCCAGATTCGTCTGCGTGCGCTTCGACACGGCGCGCCAGCCCTGGACATAGTCTGAGTGGCGGCTCGCGACGCGGCAGATGGTCGTGCGGCACTCGTGGTAGTAGCGCAGCAGGCGAAAATACGCCCGTGCCGAAACGTCCTCCATCTCGGGCACGTACACGTCTTCGAGGTGCGCTGTCGCAAGCGTGCGAGCGGCATGCTCCGCCAGCGCCAGCCAGTCGTGTTCGGCGGCGATGAAGTAGATGCGCAGCGGGGCGGTGGGCACGAGCTGAGCGAGCTCGGCCTGCGCTAGCGCGATGATGGGGGACATGTCGTAGCGCACGGCGACACGTAGGATCTCACGGGCTGCAGGGAGGTCTTGGAAGATACCAGGCGCGCCACATGGGTAGCAGAGCTGCACGACCTTCGCGAGCACCCAGCCGGGTGCACCTACACGGGCCATAGGCAGGCCGTCGGCCGCCGTCTCGACCGCCTCGTTGATCAGCATCCGCCCGCCGGCCAACTCAATCACCAGACAATGGACTCTGAGCTCGCATTGGTCGGTCGATTGAAGGGCGAGGTCGGTGGGCTGGGTGTATGTCTCCGGAATAACTTGAGCAGGGACTTCTCTCTTCGGCTGCTCGACGTGTTTCTGGGCGTTGTGATAACCCGAAGTGTGGCGAGGCTTGCAAAAGCTGGACGGACGAGTATCGACGGTTTCGATGGGGGCCCGCACGAATTGCAAAAGGCGGAAATACTGCCCGGTAGAGATGTCACTCATTTCGGAGACGTAACACGCCCCTTCAACGGAAGCCGCAAACGTAGAGTCCGGCCTGGGAAACTTTCGGTTGTAGCGGTCTTTGCAGAACACTGCAGCATCAGCGGCTACTTCTTCAATGTTGAAGCGGCATGCAAAGGCGTATGTCTCCAGTGGTTGAATGTCGGCGTGGGGCAACATGCAGTTCAGCGCTACTTCCTCGGCTCCTCGTATCTGGTACTTCCTCGCGGTTTCGAGCATCCGGCCAATACTGCTCAGATCCTTCTCTTCAGTATTGCTGCAGTTGTAAATGATACGCAAAAAAGATTCGATGGACTCGCTGTCTTCATCGAGGTGAATGATGCAGAGCTGCGCTGTATTTGGGGGCGCATTCGTTGATAGTTGTTCCAAAGAGAACAAGTCGCGAAGGAACGGGGAGGCCCCAGCGAGCATGGCCTTAGACACATAGAACCGTATGCCATCCGAAGACTGCAAGACTGCGTCTGCACTTACAGCGTCTTCGAACAGAGGGGGTGCCTTGGAGTGTCCGGTCATCTTATCCTAGCAGTTCACAATCTGAGAAAGTTAAACGTGAAAGATATAAGTTCAACGCACCTCGCGTATACGATACTAAATCTGGCACAATTGTCTTCCAACTCAAGGCGTGAGGTAGCTTACACCAGTGAGAGCCCGGGTTAGATTTACACGGCTGCTGCGAACAATGCGCCTGTTTCGCTATCCGCTGGTGACAAACTAAAACTTCCGGGGGTCATGGGTGTAGTGCAGAAAGGTACAAACTGGAAGAAAGCATCTGGGGGGCCTCTATTATAGACACTCGAGTCGGCCTCAGAGACTCGCGCGAGCGGACGTGATGGTCATCAGTCGAGAGCAGTCGCGAAGGCGCCTGGAGGCCGACGCTTTCTACTTCGGGAACACCCATCAGCTTACGTCATCCTGTCTCCCGGGCAACGCTGCAGCATGCCGCTCTAGAGTCTAGAGGCCCAACTCTAAACCTCCACTGTTCGGAGGTCTACATAACGACCGCATGATTGTGCCCGGGATTATATTCGACCAACATTTCATGCTTCAGAAAATTCAAGAATACCGCAAAATGGATATTTACAAGCAGCGGCGCGCTCAGAGTCAGAGCTTACCCCACAGTGCTTGTCGTCGTTGAAGTCTCTACGTTGGCAATATATCCTCGCCTACCGCTAAGATCCAAATCAGAAGTCCGTCCGACCGCCTCGGCTGATAAGCATCAGTATCAGCCGCCGATACGAAGCGCGTGTTATAATATGGGCATCTACTGATTTACTAGAGCTCTCTACTTCCGCTGTGCAAAAATGTCAGGGAAATCTCCAGAAAAACCGAGCAAGTCTCCATTCTCGAAGTCGTTTGCGAACGTGCAAGATATCGTTGGCGAGCCTTCCTCGCCAGGGCTCGTCGTAGCCAAGCTCTCCCTGGACGCGCTGAGGGACATACTTGAGGCCGTGGACGCATTGCCGTGTGTCAAGTACCTCGCCGGCGTTGGTATCAAAATTCTCGACATCACAGATGTGCGCCTTGCCTTTAGCTCATTGTTTCAACTTACGAACTTACTCTGTCTTCATAGGAGATGCAAACTAACAAAGAAGCGCTTCGCACCATCAGTATTCGCTCAGGAGACGTCGTCCTTGCTGTCGCTCGCGCATGCGAAGGAGCACAAGAAGACATGGTAGCAGCGCTTAACAACGACCTTCAGCAGCTTACTGGGTATGCACAACCGTTGTTCTTCCGCGATCCCAAAAATTGACCTTAGACTCAGCACTATGAACGATATCTTATCCTTCACATCAGAAATAGCTGCCCGTCCGGCGTATAAGAGACTTTTGTACAAGATGGAGGATGCCAACGTGATCAAAGCACTCGACACTCAACTGACACATGCATTCCAAGTCTTCGTGGTATGCTCAGCTCTACTAGGGCGTAAATCCCGGTCCTTACTTGTGCTGTAGGTCCAGTCAAGTATCAGTCTTCGAGTCTCGCAGCAACAGATAATACAAAGGCTTGCAGATGCACCTACAGTCGTAGGTACCCCTTCTCCGAGTGTCTGACGTTCTGACACATATCCCTCAGACGCGCTTCAAACTTATCACGACTGCTCCCCTTCACGTTCCAGAAGGAGTGTATATAATTCGCAGCGCGGTGGACGGCCGTGTTCTCGAGGTCGAGCACGCCCGGCTCCAGAGCCGGCGGAGCGACTTGCACACCTATGTTGTGCCCTTCCGCGAGAATGTGAGCCCGTATCAGCTCTGGACGATCTTCAAGCGCAGCGAGGGAAAAGCACTTGAGTACACGATCCGCAGCTTTGCGACGGGAGCCGCACTTGACGTGTATTGCGAACGAGCCGACCCGGGCACGCAGGTCGTTGGACACTCGCCGCATGGCAATACAAACCAGCTATGGGCTTTCTATGCGACGAGGAGTGCGATAGGGCAAGTGCCTTCCTGTTCGAGGCGCGCGGCAGACACTGAAACGAGCTATTGGACAGATATGACTACTGCACTATCCGCAGCTACGGCCCGCCCGCAGTCATAGATACCAAGTGCCCAAGTGGCAACGGCTGCGAGTTGCTGCACGCGTCACACCTTCAGGAAGACGGGCCGAAAACAAGTCAAGAATGGGCTCTCATACGACTTCCCACAACAACGTCTGTCCCGCGTCCGGCCCCGACGCCGATGGACATCCCGCGCCGGGAGTTCTGGCTGCAGAATGTGGCTTCGGGTAGGTATGCGGCGGCGACGGGGTTAGAAGACAAGATGGATGACGCGAACATTCTGCTCGAGACGCAGGGCGAACGCGCGGGCTTGTGGCACTTCGTCCTCATGACCGAAGGCTCGGTCGGAGACGCCTACTCAGAGCACTTCGCCATTGTGACGGGCGTAGCACCTCGCCTCGCGACTCTTGACCACTACGCGCAGCGTTGCGTGCTCGCGAGCGCGGAGCGCTTCTGGCCGAGCAGCCGTCACCACATGTGGAAGGCCATCCCGCGCAACGGCGCGTTCGCATTTGAGAACAGAGCCTCGAAGCGCCTCCTATGCCAGAGCCGCGCCATGGGTGTTGTTGACACTGCCCCGCCGACGGCATGCGATAATCCGGCGTGCCTCTGGCGTCTCGTCGATCCGCGCACTGGCGAGCCGTGCAAGGTACTCTATGACGCGACTGCGAACGTTGTACCACCTGAGATTACAGGGCTGTCTGCACGGTCTGAGGGGACGCAGCAGACAGTGTCGTCGCAGATGCTCCTCAGAACGCAGGACGCGCCAGCAGACGTCTCGCAGCGCTTTACTGAGAATCTCAAGACAGAGCACGAGCTCGTGCGCGGGATGCTTGAGGGCGGGCACACGGCAATAATGCTTGGCCCGCAGCTCGTCATAGGCTGGAGGAACGGAAGAATATCGAAGATATACCTCGATGACGAGGACTCGATGTTGGGAATGCCGAAGTTCAAAGGGAAGGTAGATTATAACCCGTGTCCGTCTTGAGTGTGCATCGCATATCTACGGAAACTGTAGATGCTTCCTCGATGGACAGCGTGAGCTATGTGAGCCCCGGGCTGCATAGCTTCCCTTGATCCCCAGCGCAATATATTGCAACCTCTACTGATCAGGACATTGATGGCGTGTCGGTGAACAAACCCGTAGGCCAAATAAGCACCCCAGCGCCATGAAGATATCTCTTATCGGCTTAGGGACTCCAGTCACATAGGCCCTCAAAACCGTCAAATTGTATAAATCATGACCGCAGCAGATTTCAAGTGCTACCTCGCGTTGCCTATTGCAAAGATCAGTCGTCATATCAAGTGCCGTCAATTTTTCTGGACTGGCCACATACAGCATCCTCTCAGCTGAGTGATATGCTTTGACAGTTGACTTCTAAATCAGAATTCTTGCCGCCTGTGTGCTGACGCGCGCCTCGGGACCGTGGACCGTCAATATAATATCTATGCTATAAAATGGGTCTTCGAACCATATTTGTCAGAGGCCTCCACTGATTCGCCGGAGATTACTACTCCTACCGCGCGGAAATGGCAGGAAAACATCGAGAAAATCCGGGCAAGTCGCCCTCCTCGAGGTCGTTCGCGACCGTGCATGACATTATCCGTGAGCCTTCCACACCTGGGCTTGCAACCGCAGCCAAGTTCTCCCTGGACGCACTCAAAGACATACTCGAGGCGGTGGACACGTTGCCGTGTGTCAAGTATATTGCTGGTGTTGGTGTCAAGATCCTTGACATCATGGACGTATGTTCCGCAGTCAACTCATTGCAAGGCTCATCCCGCTTTTATAGGAAGTACAAACCAACAAGGAGGCGCTGCGAACCATCTCTATTCACGCAGGAGATATCGTCCTCGCCGTTGCTCGAGCTTGTGCGGGAGCACAGGAAGATATAGCAGCGGCACTTGAAGGTGATCTTCAGCAGCTTACTCGGTACACACAAGCGTCTTTTTACAATGCCTAGAAATTAATATTTGACTCAGCACTATGAATGAAATGCTATCCTTCACTGCAGAAATAGCTGCACGTCCAGGATATAAGAGGTTTCTGTACAAGGGGGAAGATGCCGGCGCAATCAAGGCCCTCGATTCGCAGCTGACACATGCATTCCAAGTCTTCGTGGTATGCTCGGCTTTGTTTGAAATGAATGTCAGCCCTCATTCGTGCTGCAGGTGCAATCAAGTATAAGTCTCAGGGTCTCGCAGCAGCAGATGACACAAAAGCTCGAGGGTACAGTCGCGGCCGTAGGTGCCCCTTCACCAACTGTGTACCTCCCTGACGCATGCCTACCAGGCACCCTCCCACTTAGTGACGAACGTACCTCTCCGCGTCCCGGAAGGAATCTACATCGTTCGCAGTGCTGCGGACGGCCGCGTTCTCGAGATTGAGCACGCCCGAGCCCGAAGCTGGCAGGTCAGCGTGCACGTCTACGTCGCGCCCTTCCACGAAAACGTGAGCCCTTACCAGCTCTGGACAGTCTTCAAGAACGGGGGGAAATCGCCTGGATACACAGTTCGCAGCTTCGCTGTGGGCGCCGCGCTCGACGTGTGCCGCGGAGAGGCTACGCCGGGCACACAGGTCATTGGACACCCGTGGCATACCAGTACGAACCAACTCTGGGCGTTCTACGCGACAAGGAGCGCGACAGGGTAAATGCCTTTTCGTCTCGGATGCGTGGCGGGTGCTGAAGTAAGCTTCTGAGCAGATATGACTACTGCACTATTCGCAGCTATGGTCCGCCCACGGTCATGGATGCGAAGTGCCCGAGTGGCAGCGAGTGCGACTTGCTACACATGTCACACCTTCAGGAAGATGGGCCGTACGCAAGTCAGGAGTGGTCTCTCATGCGACTGCCCACGGCTCCCTCCATCCCACGTCCACCTCTGACGCCCACTGCAGCTCTGGCGACGCCGGAGAACATCACACGTCGCAAATTTTGGTTGCAAAATGTAGCCTCTGGCGGCTACGCGAAAGCGACAGGGCTGGATAGCAAGACGACCAACGCGAACGTCTTGCTCGAATCGTCAGGCGAGAGGGCGGGCTTGTGGCACTTTGTCCTCATTGCCGAAGAACCTCGCTCGGAGCACTTCGCCATAGTGACAGGTGTAGCACCTCGTCTCGCAACTCTCGATCACTACGGGCAGCGTTGCGTGCTCGCGAGCGCGGAGCGCTTCTGGCCGAGCGATAGTCACCACGTGTGGACGGCCATCCTGCGCGATGGCGCTTTTGCGTTCCGGAACAGAGCCTCGGGCCGCCTCCTGTACCAGGGTCGCACTGCGGGCATTGTCGACACGGCTCCATCAACAGAGTGTGATAATCCAGCTTGCCTGTGGCGCCTCATCGATCCGCACACAAGCGAACCTTGTAGGGTGCTCTACGACGCGACGGTGAACGTTGCGTTGCCTGAGATTGCCGGGTTGGAGGAGGGGGCGCAGGCGGTCGCGCCACGGATGTTCCTAAGGACGCAGGACGCGCCAGCAGACGTCTCGCAGCGCTTTACTGAAAGTCTCGAGGTAGAACATGAGCTTGTGCGTGCAATGCTCAATAACGGACATACCACAGTTGTGCTCGGCCCGCAGTGCGTTATGGGCTGGAAGGGGCGAATATTGAAGACGTACCTCGATGAGGAGGACTCGGTGTTGGGGAAGCCGAAGTTTAAAGGGAAAGGGGACTATGACCCGTGTCCGTCATAAATATATTCATCCGAAGTGATAGATCACATGTTCGCGCAAAGCCTGAGTTGCTTGGCCTGCCTTAATTTACCGCAGCAACCGGTTGCAAAACTATCATTAGACACCGCCTCCAACAAGGTTTGCTCACTAGAAAAAAAGCGACCCTACATTGCACGGATATCGTCAAAGTTTCATAGTGCTCACATCAGGAAAAAATAACCATTCTACCCGATGCTACCTGAGCTTGGTAGTGCTCCGAAGCATCGGGTAGCATTGGTAGAATGGTCAGTGTTTCCTGATGCAGTGGGGTTAAAAATGTATCTCATGCCAATGGTTGTTGCCGACGCCAATGCTTCCAAGAGTAAGTGTAAGGTTAAAGCTAGCTGAAGCTCGTGCATTCAAGCTCGTGCAGATTCTACCTTTGTAGATCAGGTTGGTATCTCACGTCAATGGCGACTGTCAAGTTGGCGCCTCCAAGAAACATGTGGTGTCAAAGGGCTTCATAAATGTTAACGAGAAAGAACACAAAAATAACCACGAAGGTCACTGATTAGTGTCACGGAGGAGATGGTCGGAGATTGAGCTCGAAACCCCCAAGCCGGTACAGAGAGATGTAGATTAGGCTAGAGTATCTCGGAAACACCCGTATGTATGTTCGAGGCGGTCTGCTCTAGAGCGCAGCTCGGCGGATGCAATGGTCGAGAGGAGCCAACAAAGCGTTTGAAGGACAGCAGCGAGTTGCAAAAACACATAGTAGTTGCGATGTCATGGGGTGTGTATCTCAGTCTGAGTGCCGACTTATACAGTTATACTGAAAGCTATCACCTTAGAGCTGAAAGACAAGCTCTCGTAAGTAGTACTATAACCCTAATATACGTAGTGTTTCTAACAAAGGTTCTGATTAGCAAGCGACCTCAGGAACACAGTGTTTCTACGATGCCCATGGCGTTCTTCCCTCTGGACCAGATCTCGGACCAGGCAGGACAGATCAGTGCACGGGCCAAGGAGGAGATCGGCAAGCTAGACCATGACACAGTTCCTGCCGGCTACATCGACCAGACGCGACTACTGTTGGCGCGTCTTGACCCGAAGACAAGTAGTCCCATCTACGAGCTAACCGCGTTGCCCCGATTTCTATCAGGTCCCAGTGAGTTCAACGCGTGAACTGTTAGCCCTATGCACGACTGACTTTGTCAAGATCCACCTACCCCCGGGAAGCATCATATCACGCTTTTGGTGCTGGTTAATATCCTGTTCTCTCGTGGAAGCATTGTAAGCACTAGTAATTTCCCCTGTTCAATCGCACACCGCTGACGCATCTGACGTAGCACTGTAGGCTTTTGCGGCGAACTTAGGTGAAAGAGGCACGCGAGCTTAAAGCGCGCTTCTTCAGTTGCACAAATGTTAGATGCCATAGGATGCGGGGCGTCGCTAGGACACATTATTTGTCTTTTTATTCCGGGGAAATGGCCGGTTCTGTGCGGCGAAGTTGTACCTCTTTATACAACTGTACGTAGCAAGACATGTTCGCCAATGCTTTGCGGCACGCAAGGCGGCGCATACAGCTTCCTGCTTACATGAATATCCTCAAGATCCCCACTTTTCTGCACACGATTCACAAGCCCCACTGGAATGCACCTGACTTAGGGCACGTGCGAAACCAAGCATGGCCGGCCAAAGCGAGTAAAACTTCACCTCTATAAGGAAGTGTGCAGATGGCGGTACAGTAAGCTACGAAAAATATGAAGTCCGTGAAGGAACTGCTATAAATCCAGCGCACTACATAGAAAACACACTATCAACGGATACGAGGCCCTCACAAGTGTAAACGCCGCCGCCCGAGCTTGTTGGCTCTCGCCAAGAAATCCGATGTCGCCAACACGCGGATGGCCTCGTAGAACGAGTTCGCCGCGTCCGGTTCAGTGGTACGTCGAAGCGCGCTGGTCGTCTCGTTCGCAGGGGCAAAGATCTGGAAGTCAGGCTGACAGATTGTACCGGGCGCAGGCAGGGTGCCGTTGTTGAAGTACTCCTTGATAACAATCGCCGTGCAGGTCGAGAAGCCGGACAGGGAGGTGTGCTATGGAGCACATGGTCAGATGGTCCAGAGGAAAAGGTACAACCAATACGTACCCCTGTGGAATTCTGCTGCAGAAGAACAGATCCGGCAAAGCCTGACGACATGTTTCGTCCACTCGTGATAGGCGTCACCGGGTCTGTAGGAGCGCGACAGCGGGTCGGTGCACAGCTTAGTTTGCTACGCGAGAACACATACCAAGGGTATTACTGATAAAGAGCAAAGGATTGCTCGTATTCGTGGTGAAGGATCCTAAGCTAGGATGTCAACAATAGTTCTTCTTGCATGTTGCAAGAACTTACCGTTGAAAACGTCCTTTCCTCGGAGTGGCCACCCGCTTTTCGGACGAAATGGGTTTCAGCCATATATAGCAGGAGAAGCAGAAAAGACATACGTGCAGAGCCCAGAACCGAGGGGATACCATGTAGGAGCAAACAAAGGTGAGAGGTCCAGCAAGATTTGATAGTCCTCACGAGCTTGTTGGAAGGTCCGGCTAGAGCTTCCGAGAATATCACCGCACTCGATGGCTGAGCTGACATCGAGTAGTGAAGAGACAAATGATCTCCCTGTATCGGAGTCGGCTTCACAAGAGGCCAGTGAATCAACGATCTGCGTGTCAGAATTCTGGAAGATAAGGGTACCGTTGCCCTGCTCGAGCTGGGCTAACGCCTCGGTGGTGGTAGAAGCATGGCTGAATGGGTAGTATACAAGCTGGAAAAGTTGCTGCACCAAGGTAGAGTAGTCAACGACGCCGAAAGTGATGGCGGCTGGGTCCGTATCGTTGATGAGGGGAACAGGGTCCAAGTGGACATTGTTGATGAGCTTGTCGACGCGGGCACGAACGAGATCCGTGCTGTTCTCCCAGATGGCGCACAGTGACGGCCCCGCCTCAACACAGGCTTCGTAGATGGACGTCAACGCTTTGTCGGTGTCCATAATGGAGCTTGTATCATTCCCTGTAAACTACTGGTAAGAATTGGTTCTCGTGGTCACCTCGTCAAACCCGGTACGTGCCTGAGTACCACTCATGCGAGTTGACAACACCGTCTATGACGAAATGACCGACATTTTGAGGAAACATGGCCGCAAACCTAAGTGGAGATGAGATTGGCAAAGTAGTTTAAATGTCTGGTGCAGACTTACGTAGCACCAATAACAGTTCCGTAGCTGAAACATCTTGTTAAGAAATTATAAATGATAGGGAAGAAGCTGCTTACGAGACACCCCAATAGTTAACTTTATCAAAGCCAAATGCCCGTGCGATGTTCAGCATGTCAGTTGCCACCGCCGCCGTAGACACTGACTCGGCAATTTGCTGGACGCGATCGACAGCTAGCTTTCCTAAGATCTGAGCCTCTGCGAGACTCCTCCCAAACGACGAGACAGATTCGTTCACATTCTGGGGATACGGAGCGTAGAACTCAAGCGCCTCTGCTGGGCTATTGAAGACGGAGAGAGTTGGAGTAGTCTCTCCGGCGCCTGTATCACAATCATCAGTAGCTTTAAGCCAGAGTAGAACATGTGGCATACCCCGAGGATCAAACCCGACGAGATCATATTGGGGACCGATGATGGGACGGAAATAGGGAGCTAGCTCCTGAACAAACTGAACACCAGAACCGCCAGGTCCTCCTGTAGTGAAGAAAGTCTCAGTAAAATGAAGCCCTCGAGAGTTGAGACACAAACCGGGATTGAACAAGATGGGGCCGAGATAACTAGGGTCGTCTTTGGAGAAATTGGACGGCGACACAAGCAGAGCCACCTGTGCTTCACCAGCACTAATATTGGAGTATTGTAAAGGAACCTAGGAGAAGATAAGTCAGTGATTCCTACCTCGTGATACCCTTTGACAAAGACCCACGGTTAGTCTCGCACATTGGAAGGTGTCATAGCAAGAGGTCCAGGAAAGATTAGTGGATGCAGTCAACTACCATCGCGATCAGCCTGGAGCAGCATACAGCGGAACAGTCAAGAGCACAACTTACGTTTGCCCAATTGAAGTCGTCATCCCGGGCAACAAGCGACCTTGCCTGCAGGCCCTGAATGACTGCCAGGACAGCAGCTCCGTTCACCAGCCTTCTGAGGTTTCGCATCGTGAACAAATTGTGTGATATGTGGCACAATGTCAAGCTACCTGCGTTTTATAGAACCACGAGATTCATGCTGCGGTTTCTTCAATACTGCGCAATCAACATCGCCATGCATCGCGCAAGGGTAGGGGGATGCATACCCAGCAGAATAAGCGAGAATCAAGCCGATTGATGCATTAGTTGATGCACAGTATTGTCCAGAAAGGAGATTTTCCAGTGCCTTGTGACTCCGACGGTAGCGGAATGCGTAGCGAGGCAGTGAGCAGTACTAGCCGCGCCATCAGATAGTAATGGGCAGGAAGTGCCACCGCCACGCAGGGGTGATAGAATGACTTGCGCATATGGTAGAGCGTAAGAAATAGGCACACCTTACGCCATGAGCATAGCCTACAGCATCACGGGCACGGGGTAGCCTGCGAAGACCAGTGCCACGGCGCGACTAGTACTGACCAGCAGTGCACAGTACCAGTAGTTTTTCTCTGCCCAAACGCCGACGTCCAGAGCAGCATATTAATATGTCTGCAAGTCTTTCCTTAGGCACTAGGGGTTGCGCGGAGTACGCGTTGATGGGAAACTGGGATGGAAGGCGAAGAAAACACCGCGGGACGCCAGGAACGGACAGAAGACCGGCGCTAAAAAAGCGGGAGTTAATATCGGGACCCCGAAAACCTCGGACGTACCTCAGCTGCAGAGGTGGACCGACTCGAGGGCGATATGAGCTACCACACTGTTGGAACTGCGGAATGCTTTTAAAGCGTCTACATATTTTTCCGACATCACTGAACTCTATGAAGGTCTGCGGTGGACAAAAATAAAAATCTCGTTCTCGCAGTGCCGAATCTTGTTCTGGCTGCGGCAATTCATTTCGCTGTATTGAACTGAGTTTGTCCGCGTGTTACCGAACTTAAGTGCATCCGTATGCGCTGTTATACATGATACCGCAAGTAAGTGCACATTTTTCCACCATTGTGTGCTCCCATAGACTCGACTTGGATTTATGAGGGTCTTGTTTGCTCTGTGCATGATATCCGTGTGCACATTCACTAGCATGCGGGTAAAATGTGGTCTGAGTCTGTGTAGGTGCACTTTTGTGCACTTATCTGCGGCATCATGTACAACAGTGTGCACAGGTGCACTCACTGGTAGTGAACCTATGGTATAGCGAAGGGAGCGACAGCCAGAACAAGATTCGGCACTGCGAGAACGAGATTTTTGCCTTTGTTCACGGCGGGCCTTCATAGAAATCACATCAGCTCGACACCCCGCACGCATTACGGGCAGCAGCCACTAGCACGTCGAACGTTGAGATTTTCGAGAATACGTATGGTAAGCGCAATGTCAAGTGTTGGGACGCGCCATCAGCTTACGTCATCCCGCCTTTTGATCCGGACCAGCGAGTCCACACGCTGCGGACAAGCGCAGGCGAGCTTTTCAAGTTCCCACAGTCACGAAGTTGCCTATGAGCTTGTGAGCAACCTCAGGCGTAGTTTTCTACCATGACATAAATCAGGTGTCGAACATCGGCAGGCTCCTTGCAGCACCAAACTCGCCAAGTCGTCTATCCTATCAACTCCCAGCCGAGCGGCTGACTTCAACAGTTGGCTACTACCTCGCGGAGGTATGAACCGAATCAAAGATCTCATCGTCTTCCGTCGCTAGCGTGCGGATAAGCTTCAATATAAGCCTCTGATGCAAGGCGCTTTGCTGTATGGTATAAAGTGAGACCTCTAGCCGACTTTGTCAGGTCCATCTAGTACTGAGTTGCTCTTAGTTCCTCATCTCCACCGTGCAGAAATGGCTAGGAAAACACCAAGTGACTCGAGTGGCTCACTCGCCCCGAACTCATTTGCAACCGTGCAAGATATCATTGGCGACCCACCCGCACCTGGCGTCGCGACCGCCGCCAAGCTCTCGCTGGCCGCGCTTAAGGACATCCTGGAAGCAGTGGACACACTGCCATGCGTCAAGTACATTGCTGGTATTGGCGTCAAAATTCTGGACATTACAGACGTGCGTCCTGCCTTTGGCTTCTCATTTCAACTTACGAGCTCATTTCAACTGTGTAGGAAGTGCAAACTAACAAAGAGGCGCTTCACAGCGTTTCTGTCCGTGCTGGAGACATTGTTCTAGCTGTCTCTCGTGCATGCGAAGGGGCGAGAGGAGACACAGTAATAGCGCTCGGAAGCGATCTGCAACAGTTGACAGGGTATTTACAAGCATCAGTATTCCGTAATCTTCGGAAATTGACCATGAACTCAGCACTATGAACGACATTTTTTCCTTTACGTCAGAGCTGGTTGCTCGACCGTGGTACAAGAGGGTTCTGTACAAGATGGAGGACGCCAATGCAATCAAGGCTCTCGATACGAATCTGACGCACGCGTTTCAAGTCTTCGTGGTATGCTCGGTTGTCAGGATTTAGCTCTCAGCCTTTACTTGTGTTGCAGGTGCAGTCAAGTATCAGTCTCCGAGTCTCACAGCAAGAGATGACACAAAAGCTCGCAGACACGCCTACGGTTGTAGGTGCTGTTTCCGCTGAATGTATAGTCTCCTGACGCACGTCCGTTAGGCACGCTCTCACTTAGTGACGAGCACTCCCCTTTGTGTACCAGAAGGAGTCTACATCATCCGGAGCGCGGTCGACGGCCGCGTACTCGAGATTGAACATTCCAGACTCCGGACGCAGCGACCCGTTGTGCATGCCTACGTCACGCCTTTCTGCGAGGGCATGAGTCAGTATCAGCTCTGGATGATCTTCAAGCGCGAAGGCAAGGAACTTCGGTACACGATCAGCAGTCTCGCAACAGGCGCCGTGCTCGATGTATTCTGGGGCCAGGCCTTACCGGGCACGCAGGTTATCGGACACTCGCCACACGGCCAACCGGTGCAACTTTGGGCCTTCCACGCGACGAGGAGCACGTCGACGTGAGTAACTTTCTGTCTCTGTGATTAGTCATTAACGTGGCTTTCGGGCCAGGTATGACTACTGTACCATTCGCAGCTACGGCCCGCCTACAGTCATGGACGCCAAGTGCCCAAGCGGCAATGACTGCGAATTGCTGCATATGTCGCACCTGCAGGCCAGCGGGCTATACACAAGCCAGGAATGGTTCCTCATACGGCTCCCCATTACATCCTCTGTCCCGTGGATGATGTCGACCGCACCCCACTTTGCCTCGAACGACATTCCGCGCCGGAAGTTCTGGCTACAGAACGTGGCCTCTGGTAGGTACATGGCAGCGATAGGGTTGGATGGCAATATAGACGACGGGAACATCGCCCTCGAAGTGGACAGCGCACGCGCAAGCCTGTGGCACTTTGTCGTCACGACCGAAGGTGCGTTCTGGCAGGCATATCCGGAGCACTTTGCCATCGTGACGGGAATGGCGCCGAACCTCGCGAGCCTCGACCACTACGCGCAGCGCCGCGTGCTCGCGAACGCGAAGCGCTATTGGACGAGCGACCCCCATCACATGTGGAAGGCCATCCCGCGTGACGGCGCATTCACATTCCTCAACATGGCGTCGCAGTGCTTACTGTGCCAGAATCGCACTGCAGCCGTCGTCGATACTGCACCGCCGTCGACATGCGACGACCCGGGGTGCCTCTGGCGCCTCGTCGACCCGCGCATGGGCGAGCCGTGCAGGGTGCTCTACGACGCGACCGCGAACGTTGTGCCGCCCGAGATTGCAGGGGCATCTGAGGATGTTGAAGAGTCACTGCAGACAGTGCCGCCTCAGATACTCCTAAGGTCGCAGGACGCACCGGCAGACGTTGTGGGACGCTTCGCAGAGAGCCTCAAAGCGGAGCACGAGCTCGTGCGCGGGATGCTTGAGAGCGGACACACAGCGGTTGTGCTCGCCCTGCGGCTCGTAATGGGCTGGAAAAAAGGGCGGATATCGAAGATATACCTCGATGATGAGGACTCGACATTCGGGATGCCAAAGTTCAAGGGGAAGGAGGAATTTGATCCGTGTCCGTCGTGAATGTGTCCGCCAGAGGGAATAACTTGAAGTTGTAATTTTACGTGGCAACTGCAAATCTTTCCACGGCGTGCGGTGTGAAACATCCCGTGAGGTCCGACACCTTCCAATTCAGGCACAGTCCGCCGTCATGCCGCCTCCCTGATTTCGAACTCAAGCATTTCTGCATGTTGCGAACAACCGGGCGGGTTAAGGAGTTTTCACAGTCACGAAGCCTTCGATGAACTCATGAGTATTCACAGAGGTGTTGATCATACTCCGAGCTGAGTAACTTGGTTCGACGGTCAGTTACCCACCATCCCACGGGCTAGTGTATATCTGCATCACAGTCCCACCGCCTTCCGTCGTCTACATGCGGGTAAGCTTCAATGTACGCCTTTGACGCGAGGCGCATGACATAGTATAAAGTGGCCCTTCGACCGAGGTTGTCGGATCCATCCACTAATTTGCCCCCCAGCTTCTTACGCAGGAATGTCAGCAAAATCTCCCAAGAAAGTGAACGGATCCTCCACCTCCAATTCGTTTGCCACCGTGCGCGATGTCGTTGGCGAGTCTCCCGCACCTGGCCTCGCGACCGCTGCCAAGCTCTCGCTAGATGCACTCAAGGACTCAGGACATCCTGGAGGCGGTGGACACATTGCCGTGCATAAAGTACATTGCCGGGGTGGGCGTCAAGATCCTGGATATCACGGATGTATGCCATGCTGTCAGCTTATCATGACAACCTGCGAGCTCATGCCGCCCGGTAGGAGGTGCAAAGTAACAAAGAGGCGGTGCGAGGCATCAGTATTCGCACAGGAGACATTTTTCTTGCTATCGCTCGCGCATGCGAAGGAGCAAAAGAAGACATGGCAGCAGCACTTGAAAGCGATCTTCAGCAGCTTACTGGGTAAGTATCGACGTCATTTATTTCTGTAGGGCCCAGGAGCTGACGTTCAGCTTAGTACCATGACCGATATCTTGTCCTTCACATCAGAGTTGGTTGTCGGCCCGGGGTACAAAAGGCTTTTGTACAAGGCAGAAGATGCCAATACGGCCAAGGCTCTTGATACTCAGTTGACGCATGCATTCCATATATTTGAGGTACGCTCGACATTGCTAGGAATGCACACGCGCTCTCATTTGCGGTTCAGTTGCAATCAAGTGTCAGCCTGCGGATTTCGCAGCAGCAGATGACGCAACGGCTCGCAGATGCACCCACAGTCGTAGGTATCACTTCTTTCGCTGAATATAGTCTTTTCGCACGCGCTCTTTAGGCACGCTCTCACCTGCTCACAAACACTCCTCTTCGCGTTCCGGAAGGGATCTACATCGTTCGTAACGCGGCGGACGGGAGTGTGCTCGAGATCGAGCATGCTAAGCTTCGAACCCAGCGACGCAACGTCCATGTCTACGTCGTGCCTTTCCAGGAGAGCGTAAGTCCGTACCAGCTCTGGACGATTTTCAAACGCGAAGGCAAGGAGCTCGAGCACACGATCCGCAATTTTGCGACGGGCGCCGTGCTCGACGTGTTCTTCAACCATTCCAAGCCGGGCACGCAAGTCATCGGGCACTCTGCGTACCGCAGGCCGAACCAGCTCTGGGCGTTCTAGGCGGCGAGAAGCGCGGCGCAGTAAGCAGCACTCCTTCCTCGCCGTTTTGGCAGACGCTGAGCCGAGGTCTCGCACAGATACGACTACTGCACCATCCGCAGTTACGGCCCGCCCACGGTCATGGACACCAAGTGCTCGAGCGGCGGCGACTGCGAGCTGCTGCACATGTCGCGCCTGCAGGCCGACGGGCTTGTACACGAGCCAGGAGTGGTCGCTCACTGTGCGGCTGCCCACGGCGCCCTCCGTGCCGCGGCGCGCGGTGCCGCCGATGGACATCCCGCGCCGCGAGTTCTGGCTGCAGAACGTCGCCTCGGGCGCGTACGCAACGGCGACGGGGCTGGAGGACAAGATGGACGACGCGAACGTCGTGCTCGAGGCGGACGCCCGCGCGCGCCGGCACGTGGCACTTTGTCTTCAGCACGAAGGCCCTCGCGACCGCCAGCACATGTGGCGCGCGGTCTCGCGGCGCGGCGGTGCGTTCACGTTCAAGAACATGGGCTCGGGGCGCCTGCTGTGCCAGAGCCGCACCACACGGGTGTCGTGGACACGGCGTGCGACAACCCGGCGTGCCTCTGGCGGCTCGTCGATCCGTGCACGGGCGAGCAGTGCAGCGTGTTGTACGATGCGGCGGTCAGCGTCTCGCCGCCCGAGAGTGCGGGGCCCGAGGAGGAGGGGGCGCAGCAGGTGCAGGCGGTACCGCCGCGGTTGCTCCTGAGGACGCAGGACGCGCCGGCGGAGGTCGCGGAGTGCTTTGCTGAAAGCCTCAAGATGGAGCGTGATCTCATACGTGGGATGCTTGAGAGCGGGCTCGGCCCGCAGCTCGTTGTGGGCTGGAAGAACGGGATGGTATCGAAGACGTACCTCCAGGACGAGGAGTCGGTGTTTGGAATGCCGAAGTTCAAGGGGAGAGAGGATTTTGAGCCATGTCCGTCATGACTCGCGACTATCTAGACGAATGGATTACATTTCGTGGAGAATATGAACTGCGCGGTGTCAGAGCGAGGCTTCGGATGCATTTTGAACGCGCATCAGGCGCATCAGGCGCATCAACGGAATCAAACCTTGTACCGCATGCTATACCCAACCGGCCTCTCCACACACAGCCCCACGACCTGCGCTCTCCGCACACCCCACCTCGACCCAAACCAAAACCAGACCACAAGCGCACCTCACCCATCTCCGTCGACCACCACCACCACCAACACACACACACACAAAACACACACACGCCCGTCCAGACCACCATGGACGGCCAGCACGACTACATCGCCGCCCTGCAGGACACGCTCCCGGCCAGCCTGCGCGCCGGTCTCGACGGGCTCTCTGCGGGGGCGCGCACCGTCGCGGACGGGCTCCTGCGCTTCGCGCTCGGCGGTGCATGTCCGCCCGGCGCCCCCGACGCGCTCGCGCGCGAGTGGGCGGCGCGCCAGGCCGCCGCGCGACAGGCGCTGCAGCAGCTCCGGGTGGCGACGCCTGGGAAACGGGCGCGGGAGGACGGGGAAGAGGAGGACGGGGAAGGAGACGCTGGTGCTGGCGCGGGCGGGGCGCACGGGGCGAAACGGCTGCGGGCGGCGCCGGGTGGTGGTGCGGCACACGACGAGGCAAAGGACGGGGCAAAGGACGAAGAAGGAGAAGCGGAGGACGAAGCCGACCCGCCGCGATACACGCTGCACGCGCTGAGCGTCGCGGCGCCGGTGCGCAAGCGGTTCGACGTGCGTGTGCACGCGCGCAGCGTGCGCCTGGTGCACCCTGGCACGCAGGCCGTCGAGCACACGTTGCCGCTCGCCGCGCTCCGCCGCGTCTTCCTCCTCCCGACGCGCGGCAAGACGCGGGGGCACTGGACGGTGCTGCTCCTGTCCGCGGACGTCCCCGCCGCTGCTGCCGCTGCACCCGCGGGGAAGAACGCGGGGAAGGGCGCGGCGCGCGACAGGGAGAAGGACGTGCAGATCATGTTCGGCGTCGACGCCGCGCCGACGGGTGCGTACAGCACGACGGACCACACCGTCACGGATGCGGCGGTGCAGCACGCGCGGGGCACGCCGGTGGAGCCGTTCCTGCGCGCGTTCCTCGCGCACGTCCCGGTGGCGCTGCTGCACACGGCGGACGCGGGCGTGTTCCGGAGCGCGCTCGCGGCGGGCGGGGCGGGCGTGCAGGCGTACCGGGCGGCGAAGGAGGGCACGCTCTGGTTCTTTGACGACGGCATCCTCTGGGACGGGCGCCCGGCCGAGTTCTGGGGCTGTGCGGACCTCGTCGGGAGTGCGAACGCGGCGGGCGAGGCTGGGACGGGTACCGATGGCGTGCGGCTCGTGAGCGCGACGGGCAGGACGTGCTCTGTGTTTGTGAGGAGGCGCGTCGGGGGGCCGCGGCGCGGGGATGACGGCAAGGAGGAGGCGGCGGGAGATGAGGAAGAGGAGGAGGACGTCGAGTGCGTCGAGACGGACTTTAGCATGGTCGACGGCCGGGAGCAGGACGGCATCACGGCGTGGGTGAAGCGACACAAGCACCTCTTTGGCCGGCCGGCGCCCGAGGCGCAGGATGAGGCTGCGAATGGCGGGGAGGGCTATGGCGTCGCGGCCAGTGGCAAGGTGGACGTCAAGGGCAAAGGCAAGGGCGTCGCTCGGCCGGACGAAGATGACGAGGACGAGGACGACTCGGACTTTGTGGACAGCGGAGAGAGCGATGGCGGCTCGGCGACGAGTGATAGCGGGAGCGACGAGGAGGGGGGTGGGCAGGACGAGGCCGGGGACGAGGACGAGGACGCAGATGGCGAAGAAAGCGAGGACGAGGAGGATGCGGAAGCGTTGGATCCTGCGCGACACCCGCTGCTGCGTCCAGGCGCGATGCCAAAGATGTCGAAGGCGGCCATGGACGCTGCGGTGGGCATGGTTATGGAAGACTTTGTGGGAGGGAGTGGGAAGGGGAAGGGGAAGGGAGAAGAAGTGGAGAGTGAAGAAGACGAGCTCGATGACTGAGCTTCCATTTGTTGGGAGTGTGTCGCGAATCGCGTCTGGGAGATGCTGTATATGCTGACTGACCTCTGCGTTGTATTTCATAGATATCACATTACTAGCACGTCTCTGCCTGTCGCGTATATATTTCTACATGTCCGGTGCGGTTGTCTAGCGCTGACGCTGCAGTCCGTGGACCGTCCTCGACGGCGGGCAAGATCCGGCGTCCGCTGCCAAGATCTACCCACAGCTTATCTCTGCCTCGAGGCCGCGTTCCCAGGTGGTGCTGCACGCCGGACATTATCTTGGGGCGGCAGAGGCCACCAGCTCGCCGGATCCGGCCTAGATCATTGTGGCGGCGGCATGAGTGCATTCGAGGGTCGCACCGGCCATTGCACCTCAGGGAGTCCGGTGATTGCGGGACGCCCTCGTCTGCTTGTGCCACGCTGGCGAGTGACTGCGGTTCCGGGAATGCCGTCACTTATCTCAGTCAAGCTTATCACGTTGCACGTCCCGAGAAAAAGACGCATATAAGGACCCTCGCACAGCGTGCACCCTCTCCCACACCCCATCCTCGGAGCGCCCGAGATGCTCGCCCTCGCAGTCACGTTCGCGCTCACGACCCTCCTCGGTCCCTTGGCCTTCCCGGCGGCCCATGCCCTGCCCACGTCATCCCAGCGCCCGCTCTCCGCGCCGCACCCCGCCAAGGACGCTCAGGTGCTCGTCCTCGGCGGCGGCATGGCCGGCATCACCGCCGCCCGCGCCCTGCACGAGGCCGGCGTCACCGACTTCATCGTCGTCGAGGCCGGCCATGAGCTCGGCGGGCGCTTGATGAGCCACCGCTTCGGTGCCCCCGGACGCGAGCACACCGTCGAGCTCGGCGCCAACTGGGTCCAGGGCACCCGCCGCGGCGACGGCCCCGAGAACCCCGTCTGGACCCTCGCAAAGAAGCACGGCGTCCGCACCCAGAGGAGCGCCTACTTCGATGGCCTCAGTGCGTCCCGATGCTCTCAGTCCCGACGCTGACCATGTTGAGATGCCGTGCGCGCGTGAAGCGACGTATAACGAGCAGGGCCAGCTCGATTTTCGCCACGTCGTCGACGCGGCCTCGAAGAACTTTGACAGACTTGTCGCCTCCGCAGGTCCGTGACGGCTCTCTTGCTCTCGTCACCGGTAACGATGGTTCTCCCAGGTTCACGCTTGCCAGAAAGCCTCGTCGATGCGAGTGCCCGCACAGGCTACTCCATCACCGGTTCACATCCACACACGCCAGAAGAGATGGCGGCGGAATATTACCAGGTAAACGTCACTCAACACCTGTCGTATGCTTCCGCTGAGCGCATCCGCCCAGTTCGACTGGGAGTTCACAACCAGCCCCGAAGAGTCGTCCTGGCTCGCCTCCGCCTGGGTACGTCCCGCTTGCCGACGCCTCCCCACTCACATTTGCCCACACCCTCGGCACTAGAACAACAACCACACGTTCTCGGCCTTCTCGGAGGAGAACCTCATGTCGCTCGACCCCCGCGGCTTCAAGACGCTCGTGCAGGCCGAGGCCGCGGCGTTCCTCGCGCCCGCGCAGCTCCGCCTCAACGCGACCGTCACCGCCGTCGCGTACGACGCGCACGGCGTCCGCGTCGCCCTCGCCGACGGGCAGACGCTCGCCGCAGACTACGCCATCTGCACGTTCAGGTGAGTTTTTTTTTATTTTTTATTTGGCGTCTCGAGGGCCTTTTCCTGGGTGCTGACGGTGGGCGGGCTATAGCCTCGGGGTGCTGCAGCACGGCGACGTCGCGTTCGTGCCGCCGCTGCCGGCGTGGAAGACGGAGGCGATACACAGCATGACGATGGTGCGTGCGCTGGCCCTTTTGCCTCGAGCGTCCACCGCGTGCGCAACCGCTCATATCAGCGATCCTTCCCGCGCGTGTGTTGCAGGGCGAGTACACGAAGATCTTCCTCCAGTTCCCAGAAAAATTCTGGTTCGACACCGAGGTGCGTCGTGCGCGCCTCCCTCCCCTCCCTTCGCGCCGCCACAACTCACCCTGACACACACACACACACACACACACACCCGTGCGCCCGCGCACACACATACACAGACCGCACTCTTCGCGTCACGCGAGCGCGGCCGGTACCCGGTGTGGCAGAGCCTCGACCACGCCGCCTTCCTGCCCGGCTCGGGCGTCCTCTTCGGGACCGTCACGGGCGCGTTCGCCCGGCGCGTCGCCGCCCTCCCGCGCGCCGCCGCGCAGGCCGAGGTCCTCGCCGCGCTGCAGGCGATGTTTTTCTCGGACGATCAGAGCCAGAGCCAGAGCCAGAGTGGTGGTGGTGGCGGTGGCGGTGGTGGGCGGGCGCGGACGATGCCGGAACCGGACGCGTTCTTCTACAAGACCTGGACGAGCGACCCCCGCTTCCGCGGCGCGTACGCGACGTGGCCGCCTGGCTTCGTGGCGGAGCGTCACGTCAATTTGCGCGCGGACGTCGGCGGAGGCTATGTTGGCGAGGACGGCGAGGAGAGGGAGACGCCGCGCGCGGGACGCGTGTGGTTCGCAGGCGAGGCGGGCAGCCTGCGGTACTTTGGTGCGTGTGCGGTTGCTTTGCCATTCTTCCCGGCCTGGCGAGAGACTTGTTGAAGGTGCTGATTCGCGGCGTGGCGCTAGGGTACCTGCACGGCGCGTACTTTGAAGGTCAGGACATCGGCGCGCGCGTTGCACGGTGCGTGCTGCAGCGCGGGGTGTGCCCCGGGCTCGAGCATGTCGAGGCCGTGCGCAACGTGCGGCCGTACGGCGGTGTGTAGGGCGTTGCTGGTCTCGGACTGGCGTGTACGAGGGCGGTTTGCATGTAGGAATGCTGTGGTCTGGGTTGTACAATAGTGTAAGGATTTGTCTTTTCTTCTCTCTGTTGGTTTACGTAGCCTTGTTTCTCGTACGGTTTAAATTGTATTGTAGTCATCAAGATATTGCGCTACGGATATCAACATTCTGACAGCGCGAGGACCTTTAGAGACGATAAGAGCTGTAGCCTACACACGCTCCACTTCCCCTCGAGTCTCGTACTGTATCTTCTGCCGCTCCGCGCTGAGCATGATCGACGCCATCGCTACAGAAAAGTTGCCGATCCCATTCGCCCTCTGAGTTCTCTGACACCCGTTCAGAGGTGTATTAAATGAATAAGCGGCCGTGCTCTCCGCAAGAATTCCAACGCACTTTTGTTGGCTCGCCAAGCACACAGTGTACTGTGGAATTGTTACGTAGGGTATAATAATGTACTGCAGCAGGAACCAGCCTAATCAAAAATTAGTCACGGTAACGAAACTCCCAGGAAACGGTACATAGCGTCTCCGTTTATCGAGCACCCCTCCCCCCTGGGAATGCCAGTCCGAAGGATACTAATGACAAAACAAGTTTGCATAGGGTAGTAGATGATGGCAATATAACGACAGTTTAAACGTTACGAGTTGTTGAATGAACACCGTAACCACGGCGATGGAAGGAACGTTTTGCAGGAATCTTCCCGCCATAAATGTTACCGGGCCCAAAGTTTGGGTCACCGCCCAACGATCCAATGATGTCGCCAATGTAGTTGTTCGGCTCGATGCCCTTCTCAAACGTCGACTCCCACTTGGAGACGATGCCCGTCACGATGGGGACGCCTGCGGCCGGAATGTTTTGAATCGAGATGTCGAAACCAGGCGACATGAGGAAGAGGTTCGTGGCCGCACTCTCTCCGTCGAACTGCCTGTCGAAGTCGGAGGCAGTGCGCATGATGACGATGCGGGAGAAGTCGACGAGCCCCGCGAGGGCACCGCGCATGAGCGCTTCGAGCGTCCCATTGTCCTCTTGCTGCGTAGTACAGTACGTCGCCGTCCCATTCGTGAGGAGCTTCGTGGTGTTCTCGAAGGCCCCGGCGAGCAGGTCGCCGGTCCAGAAGACATCGGAAGTCGCCGTGTCGCAGGCTACGACGGACGGAGGTGCAGCGCCGGCAGCGTAGGCAGGGTTGCCAGCGTAGTTGGCGCGGTACTGCTGCGCCTGGGCATCATCGTACAACTGGCTCATGTTGGCCATCGAGATGGCAAGCTGGCGGAGGTTGTCGTTCACCTCAAAGACTTCCGTGCCGTAGAGGGTTCCTGGGTACTCGTTTGGCGCAGTGGAGCCTAGCGGAACATAGCCTGTGGAGAAGTTGGCGGGCTTCTCGCGGGCATCGAACTCGCACTGCAACGCGACCTGCACGGCATACCGCGCGAATGTGACGCTGCCTAGAGTGCCCATTTTAGGGCTGATTCCTGCGATACCGGCGATCAGGAAGTAGGTGTGTGTGAGATCGAAGACGGGGGAGTAAACGAGTGCGGTGATCGTCGAGGCAGCGTTGATCTCGGCTTCTCCTGTAGTGAGCTGGCATATCGATCCATCCCCTGTACAGTGAGCCTGGGGGAAGAGCGGCGAGAAGCCCGGGATGGTGATGTTGTGTTCTAGAACGTTGAACTGAGGGATGGCACACCACGAGTAGCCTTCGTCGTCGAACTAAGCAGTGAACTAGTGAGTACCAAGGGTATGATACGGTCTCCCTTGAGCTTACCATGGAGATAAGGAAGACTTTCGGCGCAATCTTCACATCTTCCACCCTCGAGTGTGGCAGGATGGCTGCCGGTACGAGCTGCAAGACGCCAACCAGGACGAGTGATGCGAGTGTCCACGCCAGCATACTGGTACTATTCGCTGCGTAAGTGGACGTGAAAATTTCAATTGGAGGGGAGCCCACTTACCTGTATCGACGCGAAGACTACTGAGAGCCTGTCACACGCCGACGAGTTCCTCTGTGACTCGTGATAGGGATCTCCAGAGTCTAAGCGACAGATTCGAGGCACCTGTGGCCGCCGTTCAGGTTGAGAATCTACAGTAGATAGCCGTATAGGCGGGGTGCGACGAGGTCGAATTGCTCGGTTCATCCTCATATATCTTTTTGCGGCAATTTTGATGCGACGCTTAGCAGAGCTGTCAGGTGTGCTCAATATTGATTCCGAAACTAGCATAAAGTGGAGAGGATGGGAGCGGCCGCAGGGGTGGATGGCTTTCCTGTTGATACCGTACCTTAGTTATGAGACATAGACCGTCATACGGATCTGCTTCCGCCCTGCGGTCGTCTCGCTGCCCACTTTTAAAATAGGCAAGTCTATTTATACATAGTTCCCAGAAAAGTTCTGGTTCGACACCGAGGTGCGTGGCAAGCCGCTATGAAAAGGAGCCAACACTCCCCGAGGCTGAGTTTGATGACTTTGACATGTGTCGCAGCTGGCAGGTATGTGTTCACAGCATTTCTGCAGGCATGTATTATGATTCTCATGGCATGCACCCCAGAATAATCAGCACCGCTTCCCTCTCATGTATCGTGTCGCACTAGACATCCTCCCAGCGCAAGCCTCAGCTGTGCCTTGCGAGCGGGTTTTCTCCTCTAGCAAGGAGACTGATACCTTACGGAGGACGAATATGTCAGCTGATTTGATGGAAAGACTTCAGATTCTGAAATATCTCTATTTACAGCAGCGCGGCGAAAAGCTTAACTTCTCGCTGGGCAGGCTAGCCACTATGAGAGCGAGCTCGAGCCCGCTGTCTCAACAGAACAGATTGACACGCTATTGTTTCAAGGTCGTACGGCTGAATTAGATAGAATGATTGCAGACACCGAGGCTTAATACTACATGCCGTACACGACAAAACAGCGTCTCTGGATTTGCCGCAGCCAAGAGTATTTGCTAAACTCGAGGGGTATCGGCTAGCGCCGTGTCAGCCGATTCCCCAAGGAAGCCCGTATGTATATATTATATCATGAGAGGTATGTATGCAATACAGAATCAATTATGTACATTGAATAGTATCATAGCTTGCCAGAGCAAAATAATTTCGTGCAGATGTGCATATGGCAATAAGGGTGCCAGTGTGACTTCACCATAATACACACAAAGAGTGCCTGCTTATTCCCAAATGGAGTATTTTGTCGAGGGCACATTAGTCCATAAAGTGTCCCTCAGGTCATTAAAAGGCCCAAAATTCCCTCAATTCTAATCTTAAAAAGGATTTATTCGAGCGTCCGCCGGTAGCCTCTGGGTGCATCCTCTGCACAAAATACCCACATTTCACACAGTCATACCCAAAGAAATCACCTTTAGCAGGAATATTGGACTATAATGTCAGTTGTAGGCAGCCAGAAGGCCCAAAATGCACCCTTCTGTAAGAGCCCACCTGAGAGCGTTTGACTTTCCCGCCATTGGATTTTCCAGCACAAACTTATTCATTTTCAACATTAGCAATGGTATTCTCATACTTTTGGATAATGCCCTCACAATGGTGGCAGCAGGCATGACAATGGAGTGTGCATAATAGGCATTGAATCAATCAGCATGAGACCTCGGACTCGGAAGCTTCTGATGATGGCCAAGCAATGAGACGCCACTGAAGGAAACAGCCCCGCAGAGTGCCAGTGGTACAAGTCGTGGCTGCAACCAAGATCGACTTCTTGTAAGCGGAAGCACGTCGGCCTCAAGGAGCTGCTGGTACTGCATGCAGAGATTGAGCTGCGTGCAAGAGTGCTATGCAGCAATAGGCCGACGCACTGGCAGCAAACCGCAGTTGATGTA